TGAGGGAAAATTTTAAATTTTCTTCTTTTTATGTCGGAAATTGGCTCCAATGTTTTCTTTTCTTTCTTTATGAATTTTCAAACAAACGGTGCGCTTAAAAATGTGTGTTTAAATATATGTTGGGTAAATATTTATTTTTTTTATTTTACAAATTTTATAATTATTTATTTTTATTTAAAATTATCGTATTTTTTGCACTTACTCTCTATCTCAATTTATTTACAGATTTTATGGGAATTTTTCTATTTCATTTTCAATAACCTGTGTTATTCTTCTTTTTCCCATATATATTATTTTTTTTTTGCATTTTCTTTTAAAACTATTTACATTACTTTATGTTTAATTAAATTGTTTGTTCACGTATTCTTTGGTATGTTAGAATGATTTCTGTTTTATTCATTTCGTGTAAAATGGTTTGCATTTCAGAGAATTAATGGTAATAAAAGAAAAGTGGGTAAAGGATGGATAAGTCAAAGGTCCTTTCATTTAAATAAAAAAAAAGAAATGGGGAATATTGTCCAAATAAAATTTATTGATATTTTATTGGACTAAGGCCGGAAATGTTTAAAAATCCACTATAAGAGAAATTATATTTTCGTTATCTTAGCAAAATTTTGTTGAAAATCAAGTTTTGAAATGTTTTAATAAAAAAAAACATTTTTTTCCCTCAACAGATGCACATAATGTGGAAAAAGAACACCAAACTTGTGGATTTTCTGCAGGATGTATATTTTCACAAGGCAAAATCTTTACTGGATGTTACAGTAAAGTTCGTAATATTGAATTTTACTTAGAACATAGCTAAAATCAGAAACAATTATCTCAGAAAAAGGGAATTTTTTGAAATGAAAATTATAAATCGTTGTACAACAAGTTAAAAAGCAGTAAGTTCGGACGGGCCGAACTTTGAATACCCTCCACCACTTGCAACGAATTTGGAAATTTTCAAAAAATAAGATCCTTAAAGAATTCTGTTAAAATTTTAAAAATACCGAATATAGCTGTTATATTGGGGTCTATACGACGTGGACCTACATAGGCATTGATTGTCATAAACCATTACCATATTCAAATTCGAAACTTGAAATAAACGGTGAATAATGTAGCTAAAATCGTCAAAATATCGTATATAGGGAGGTACCGCTATATCGGAGCTGTGCGAAGACCTGGACAAGCATAGACAATTTTCTGTCACAGCCTGTAGCATCCATTATGAACTTCAAATACGACATCTCAAACAATTTCGTTGGGTTTTGTACCTAAACTCGTCAAAATACCGAATATGGGGGGTTCCGGTTTATTGGGGCTATACGAAGACGTGGACCTGCACAGACAATTTTCTGTCATAGACTGTAGTTCCCATTACGAACTCTAAATAAGTAATTTGAAACATTTCCGGTGAATAGTGACGCTAAAATCATCAAAATACCGAATATTGGGAGGTACCGTTACATGGGGGCTATACGAAGACGTGGACCTGCATAGACAATTTTCTGTCATAGGCTGTAGTATCTATCACGAACTTCAAATACCAAATTTGAAACAATTTCGGTAAATAATGTCTCTAAAATCATCAAAATACCGAATATCGGGAGGTACCGTTATATGGGGGCTATACGAAGACGTGGACCTACATGGCCCAATTCCAATACCACAAGTCCTGCAGACATAATACACATTTGAGTAAAATGTTATCAACCTACTTCATTTCGTTCGGAAGCTAGAGTGATTTCCACAGACGGACAGACGGACGGACATTGATAAATCAACATAGAATGTTATGCTGATCAAGAATATATATACTTTGTGGGGTCTAAAATGTATATTTCGAGGTGTTACAAATGGAATGACAAACTTAATATACCCTCCATTCTATGGTGGAGGGTATAAAAAAATAGGAAGTTAATAAATTAATGCCGGAAGATTTTAGAAATTTAGTCCAAATACTATTTTTCGTGTCACCAGAATATTCGAAGTCCTCACTGAATCTGATGATGGAAGATGGAATCCAAACTTGTGGGTTACAATTTTTACAAAGAAAAATGTTTGTAACATTAGTTAAAGTTGTTTAAATTTTACTTAAAACACAGCTAAAGACAAAACTTCCAGCAAAAATTATTTCAGTTCAAATTTTTAATCCAGAAAGATCTCAAAAATTTGGAAAACGTGGTACAAAAAAAAGTCCAATGCAAGTTTTAAAAAACGGAGCATTACAATAAATTTGTAACGGGGGACTTATTCAGCCCAATTTTAGCTACTACTGAATGTCAACTTTCAAAACACCGATGCACTTACCCTTCTATCCTAATCAATAATTATTTTTCCCGAAGTTTGGAAGAAAAGAAAAACCTAGGAAAACTTGATTTAAAAATTATGAAATATTTTGTCTATTTTGAGATTCCTCCTTTTGGTTACTTATCGTGAAATTTGATTACAAATTTTTTTGTCCTTAACTTCATCCTTCTAAATTATGCTCTGTAGGAGTATTTTGCACAAACTCTTATAAACTTACCTATACAAGTCAACATCTTTGTATATTCTCCATACATTCTTAAAGACGCCATATTGCCGAACCTGTCTTAATTCGGAACTTTTCCGACTTTAGCCGATTTTTTCAACGGAATTATTGATACATTGTTATTTGGGGTTTGCTGTAGGCACAGTAGGCGAGAAATGTTCTGCTAATATTTGTATGCAAATCTAGTAGTTTTCCTCAAACTGGAATCTTTCCGGTTAAAATCAAAAATATTAACTTTGCTTTTCTATTATAAACCAGTAAGGAAAGGTCAAAAGTCGGCGGGCCCGACTATATGATACCCTACAATACTATGCGTATTTAGTAGAGCTCCAGTAACAAAAAACTTTATATTGGAACTATACTCAACTCTGAATTGACTCTCAACAAATTTGACGAGAGTTGTGTAACCCTAGTATCAAGGGCTGCATCTGATGTCCGGTATCAAATATCATTGTTGTGGAGCGCATATAAGGGACTTTACACCAAATCGGCTGAAACATATATATGGGAGCTATAGCTACCAAAATTAGCCATTATTAGCCATTTGGTGCACAAAAACCTGAAATCGAATAAAGGTATATATGGGAGCTATATCCAAATCTGAACCGATCTTGACAAAATTTTAAGCACTTACTTCAGAGCTGTATCTGATATCTGGTACAAACGATTATTCTTGTGGAGTGCATATTATGCATATAAGGGACTTGAAAGATGAAAGATATACAAAGTGGCGCAAAAGTAAACTTCCGATATTTCCAAGGTGGCGAAAAGTAAACTTCAGATATTATGAAAAACTTTGATTCTTCATGTGGATTATTTTTATTTTTTCTTTTAGTCTATTTTACATCAATGATGTCACCGCTACGGGTACGCCGCTGTCATAGGAAGTGGTACCAGTGTGCAGTGTGTGCCGTTGCATCATCCTGTTGGAACTACATGTTTTCCGATCACAACTCATGAAGTTGCGGCAAAAAGAAGTCGTCGATTATTGCTTTGTAGAGCTTACGATTCACAGTAACCGCTTGGCCCGCGACGTCTTCTAGCGAAAACTGCACACAATAAAGTGACTTTGAGCGGGTGTAATTGGTCTTCGTGGGTTACACGCGAAGCGTACATTTCGGTTATTTATTGGCTAAATAAATAGTTACCAACATTCCGCATTCTGGAGTTTTTTGTGTTTACTACAAAAATGTCAAAACAGAACTGACATTAGCCGCTAATCGTAAGATTCATAGAGTTTTCTGATAGGCAATATCTGAACTGATTTCCTAAAAATTTAATGTTATTGCTCTTAGACTAAATTCGGTCAAGTGGCCAAAATTGAGGTCATTTGTACTGACATGGCCCAAGCACAATTAAAACCGAAATCGGTTGAAGTTATATATTAAAGCTATATCTAAATTTGAATCTATTCTCATCAATTTCAATAGGGTTCGTCCTTGGTTATACAAATATTGTTTGGAGAATTTCAGCTCAATCCGATAATAAATGCGACCTGCATTTTGTTCACATAAATCGACTCAAAATGTAATTCTATAAAGATCATCAAAAGTAACTCTGGGTCTATATTTTGATTCCTTCTCCACGCACAAAGACATAATGCTCTTACTACTATGTGATGAAGGGTATAAAAGTTGTTTAAAAAGACTTGAATTAAAAGAATTTTTCAATTTCGCGATTTCTGAATTTCCAGCGAAAGTGGAAGGAAGTGTATTTAAACATATAAAAATGTGTATATATACCTGTATAATTCCCTAGCAGAGTATGTAATGCCTGTTACAAACTCCGAATAAGTATTTGAAGCAATTTGCTGATAATAGAGGTTTCTTTCTATGAGCCTTGCAAAAACTTGGAGCCATTAAGACCACATTCTTCCTTACAGGTAGGTATTCACCAAGAACTTCAAATGCCCAATTTCAATGATTACATTGAATAATCTGCTTACAATCTTCAAAATATCGAATATCGGAAGGTAAATTTATATGAGTGCTCTTTTAAATTTCCGGCGTAGAATTCGTATAACAAAAATGTAATGCCTTCTCAGTCGAACACTTCGTCGTCCTTGAATTTTACGCTTGTCAAGAATACGGGCTCACGAACTGTTCTAAAGATTTAAAAAAACCGTAAATGACCCCTAACACAAAACCTCCCATCACAAAACTTAAATCATTTAGTTTAACATAACGTTCTTTTATGAAACTTTATTGTTCAAAGCCTTTCCATCCCTGGCCAAAAGTAATGCCTTTAATCTTCGTACAATTATATTTTAATTAGTATTGCATAGTTTTAGGCGTTAATTAATAAATACCAATAAATTTCACATTTGGGCCAATTCATGTAAATTATTAGTTTTGCAACAATAAAACTATTAATACGAGCAAAAATATAACTCGACAATTTTGCCGATTTGTAGTTAACCCATTAGCCGCGAAATTATTAGAAAAAAAAAAACAGTACTTCATAAATGATTTATTATAACTAATGGAATATTTATTAAATATTTTATTTTTGGTTATGTGTTTTTTTTTTTCGAGTTCACATTTTTCTTTTGCCCCAAAATTAAATACAAATTAAAATTTTTCAAATAACTTTAAAACATATTATTTTTTTGTTTTTGTTTTGCTTATACTAATTAACTTAGTTTCTCGTTTTCAAATGGGAGATCTATGACTATGTATGTTTGTAAATCTTAAACTTAATTAAAATCTATGTGTTGTAGGTTGTTGTAGTGAAACATTGGTTGCTTTACATGGTGGAAATAATGGAGATTTATAGATATATATAAATAAATTAAAAGTAGAAGAAAAAACACAGTTTAAAATTAAAATGTCTTTGTTGTAGTTTGTTTTTCTTTTTCTTCGTTTCTCATAAAATCAATATCAATTAACACAGAGTTTAAATACATTACAATGTAAGGATGTGTGTGTGACAGAGTAGGTGTACAATTTATATATCTAAAGGTCCTTTGAACACTAAAGTATAAGGATTTTGTTTTTATTTCTGTTGTTGTTGTTTTTATGTGACGGGTTTGTGTTGTTGTTTTGACCTGGGAAAATCGTTTTAGGATATTCATGGCTTTTCATTAAATTTTCGAACTTATCCCAAACTAAATTCACGCCTAACACCATAGAGACAACTCAGAGCTAAGATGATGATAGCGTTAAGCATTACTGCAACCTTTGATGGCAGCTGTTGTGTGGGACTTGCTGCATTACTACGCGACTTTGAGCTGGCCACCACCTCCGATTCCTCGGGTGGTATATCCATGCTATTGCTGGCTACAATAAATTGGAATATGTCGCTCACCTGCAAAAGAAAAAACGAGAGAGAGAGAGAGAGAAAATTGTAAAATAAATAAATAATTTTAAGTATGTTATGATCTCTGTACTCGCTTGGTTACAGATTTAATATATGCAATATTTCAGAGTTATTTTTTTATTTTGCCAGTACTTTTTCTTCTTCTCTATTTGTTCGAATGCCAATAGCAAATATTCAGTATATTTCGTTTGCCTGCAGATTTTTCATTTTTTTTTTGCTCTGGTTGTTTGAAGAGAATAAATAAAAAAAAAACATATTGCAATTTGTGATTTAATCGCATTGTAAGTAAAGAAATGCTGTCATAAAAGGATTTTCTACATTTTTATGTTTGCTTTCTTTTCAATAAGAGTAGATCTTTGTCTGACGGTATATTGATGGTTGGAATACATATATTTGTGTGTGTGTGAGCAAACATGGATGGAGGAGAGTGGGGAAACAGTGTTTTGTAATATCGAAAAATATGTAAAATTGAATTTGTCATTCTTATCACACAGCGGCTAGGTCAAAAAATATTTCCTAAAATGACATTCAAAAATTTATTTTTCCAAAATATTCTTTAAAAAAACCAGAAAAAATAGGTCAAATCGATTTCAAAAAAAAAAAAAATATATATATATATAATAATAATAAATAAAAAAGTTGTAAGTTCGGCCGGGACGAACCTTGAATACCCTCCACCATTTGGAACGAATTAGGCAATTCTCAAAAACAATAAAATCCGTTAAAACTTCTGTTAAAATCTCAAAAATACCGAATGTAGCTATTATATTAGGGTCTATACGAGGACATGAACCTGCGTAGGTAACATTTGTCGTAAGCCATTACAATATTCAAATGCGAAAAAATCGGTTATAATGTCGATAAAATCAAAATACCTAATATCGAGAGGTACCGTTATATGGGGGCTATACGAAGACGTGGACCTGTACAGACAATTTTCTGTCGTAGGTTGTAGTATCCATTACGAGCTTTAAATACCAAATTTGAAACAATTCCGGTGAAAAATGTTGCTAAAATCATCAAAATACCGAATATTGGGAGGTACAGTTATATGGGGGCTATACCAAAACGTGGACATACAAGGCCCTTTTTTAACTATAGCCACTTGTGGCTTTCCAGCCAAATATAACGAAATAACAATATCACGTGGGCAAGTATTCTAGAGGATGGACAGGTAGATGTAATGCCGAAGAGAAAAGTTCGGGGTAGTGAGTTATACAAAGCCACTGAGGAACTGTATCTAAAAGTAAGTTGACCCGGAGAGTAGTAATGAGAAAAGTGACAACCAACCACACCCTCGCGGCAATGTGCCGTTTACCATAAGGAAAATATTTCTCATTCACTTGGCCGGTCACTTGACGGCCTTGAAAGTTGTATGTTCTTCGACGAACAGAATCGTTAGGTGGAAATAGTTTTTTCTTTGGACTGCCTCTCATTAGATTGAGTGTCCGATAATCCATTTACGGTGTCGTGTTTTCACAGGATTTTTTGGCTTGTTGTTACGCAGGAGTCATTAGCTCGTTACTACGCAAAAGCTTTAACTCGTTGATCCGCAGAAGTTTTATTTGGAGGAACTTCGGTTCGTTCTTCCCCAGGAGCGTTGACTAGCTGTTCTGCAGGAGTTTCGCCGTACTGTTCCGCAGGAGCTTTGGCTTGCAGTTCCGCATGAGTTTTGGGCTCGCTGTTCCGCTGGAGTTTGGGCTTGCTGCTTCGCAGGATTTTCGGCTCAAACTTGGATAGTTGGTTAGAGATAGTCATAAAGCTTAGAACTAGCTAGAAAAACTCCCTAGCCATTGTAGATCCACAGCAAATTGCCGAACTGGAAGGAATATTTATCTATCTAAAAAGGTCTGAACATCGGTTCCCGAGCACACTCACAGTGAGTTTCAAAACCCGAACCAATCCCTATCCACCTCAGTAGGCATGGACAGTTGATCCCGAACATTCCACCCGTAAGCTGCCGAACCCGAACAACCTAAGCTGACCTGAATATCATTGTAGACTACATATACCAATAGTGAGCCGCCGAACCTGAACGACTTCCGATTCATCTGAGAGGGCCTAGACATCGGCTTCCGAGCACACCCATAGTGGTTTGCCGAAACCGAACGAATCCCGATCCATCTTAGAAGCACTTCCAAACATTCTTCCCTTGAGCATTCGAGTCCGAAAAAGCCAAAACGACCTGGACGTCTTCTTCCGAGTATCTCTACAGTGAACTACCGTCCCCAATCCGTCACCGAGAACCTGAACATCAACATCCCAACTACCGATGATCATTCATTGAAGTTCCCGATTACCTTCAAAATGTCATCATCATGAACGCCAGTGTCACTCCGAACACAAATATTGCAATTCCCGTTATCCTACAGCAGCCACCATCTGGTCATTCACAAGTTCCCGATTACCTACAAAGCGTCACCATTCCGAACGCCAATGTCACACCGAACACAAACATCGTAATTACCGATCTCTCGCACTAATCAACATCTGGCGACCATCATGAAGTTCTCGATTACTTTCAAATCCCGAACATTAACATCGTAATTCCTTATTACTACATATTACCATCCGAAGGCCATCCACGAGTGTCCGATCATCTTCGAATCATCGGCTATTCACACTTCGGATCTAGAACCCGAGTGTAAAACGTGAAAACCTCTATATAGCTTCATCATATTTTCCGATTGCCCACGAGTCGTTCAGTCCTACGAGACAACGTAAACTTCGAGTTTCTTATCATCAACAGAATAACTCTACTTCGAATTCCCGAGCACCTCTGAAGTAATTTGGATTCTAATATAGTATTAAAATCAGTAAAACATCTCTTCTTATTTCATAAGCTTCAGTGGGTCCCCACGGGGACACAGGGTACGCAGCTAAACTTACATCAACCAACGAGAAAACTACGTTACGTCCTTTTAAATTTCTGGGAAAAAAAACTCGTTTAATATTCAGGCTATAATCTCGAATTCAACGTTCTTCAGAAAACACGAGGATTCCGCTCGGGTTATTAACGAACTTGCTGCTTGGGTTGTAGTGGGGAACTCTGGTGAAATGTGTTCGGCACACAGGTTTTCGGGTCGTGTCCGAGTAGTAGATGATTGGGAACTCGTTAATTACTACTCTAGATTTCGATTGGGGAGTGATCCCGAAACTCCAGCTAACACCGCGATCTCGAGCTTCTGTGTCAATGTTTATAGAATTAGAGACGATTTTGATGATCGGGTTGAAATCGGGAACTTTTTTGAAAATCGTTCGGTTCATAGGTTTTTGGGTTGTGTACGAGGAGTACATGATCGGTAACTTGTATCGGTGCTCGGAGGTTAGTTACTACTCTAGATTTCGGTTGGGGCATCGAGCCCGAATCTTTAGTTGCCATAGACCGTCAGAAGCTCTGTGCCGAAATGAAAACCAGCCAAAAAATATATTCCCAGCTAACAGTTCCTCTTAGTCGAAGGATAGTATTTGATTCCAAAACCACCCCGTACAGTTCAAGCAAGGCCCTGCAGCCTACCCGTCAACCGAAACGAAAACTATATATTGCACCACAATAGCCAAGTGAATGAGAATTATGAGTCGAAGCGTAGTAAATGATTTCAAAAACACTACGTACCCTTTAGGCAAGTCTCCTACAGTAACGAACCTGCATCGTCAACCGAAACGAAAACTTTATGTTACACCACAGTAGCCAAGTGAATAGATTATATTTCAAATCCTCCTGAACCCCTGTGCAATTTGTTTTAATCTGTCCTCATACCTAAACCAACTATTGAATTTCATACCCAACCCATTGATGTTTTCTTCCACTTTTTTTTTTTCAAACTTGGATCTCTGTGTGCTTGTGAAAACTGCTTCATTGTGCTCGAACATTGAGAGCGAGTACTTACCTCATTCCAGCCATAACGATTTTTAGCCTGTACAATCGCTTCATAATATGCTCCCGGTACCAGATTTTTTATTGTGTACGACATGATGTGAGTTAACGGTTCCGAGGCTGGACGGTGTTCCGGTGTAAGAATAAAATCGTGCCATCTGCCGGGTTGTTGGTATGTATCATTCATCTGGAAAATATTGCACAAAGAAAAAGTAAAGGAAATGAGCGAAAATAATCAGGGAAAAATGGGAGCGCTGAAAAAAAATGCAGTAAAATAAATTCTTTAGCAAACAAAGGGAAATGGAGAGAGAGGGAGAGAGAAGGGGAGCGGAAAAAACTACACATATATCAATGTAATCGTAATCATCATTCTCATCAATGGGAACTGTAACCGTCATCAGGATATACAAAAGGGCGAAAAAAAAAAAAAAAAAACAAAAATAAAATAAATTGTGTTTCGCCCACCTCCAACAACCACCTGAGGCTGTTGTTTGGACAATGTCAAAGTAATAGGGTTGGTTGCTTGCTTGCTTTACTTGTTGTTTGTTCGTTCGTTCATTCGCCAACTGAAGATTGAAAATAAAATGCGACAACTGCGAAAAAAAATGAAATTTTTTTCTTTACACAAAATAAATCGTTAAAAAATCTCCAGAATGCATTCATGTATGGATTCAGGGTATTTACAGGTACACGTCGCCCATATATCGCGGGCGGCGGGTGTAAGTGTATTCATTTATAGGTGTATCAGCAATGCGCTTAAATTCTTTTCATACATGTCACAAACAAAAACACACACAAACAAATTTGTATATCTCCATACCTAAAGCCATCCCAACATACCAAAATGACTTGAGAATAATATTACAATAAGCTTATGAACATAAGCCTTAAGCTTGAGAAAATCTTGAGAAAACATTGAAAAATGTTTGTGTAACAAGTATAGAATAATCGAAACGGAACCCTTATTTATAAGCTTATACTTGAAATTGTAGAATAAGCTTACAAAAATAATATTATAATAAGCTTATTTTTGTAATAGTATATAATATTATTTTTTTTAATTTTTAATCATTTTTCACATTTTTTTCTTGATGGACATCCCAGTAGTCACTGCCTCATGTTGCTTCTTCTCCCTTATTTGAACTTCTGCATCTCTTCCACTAAGACTACACATGTATTGAATTCCTTCAACTTTTTTGATGATTCCAATCTGAAATGGGATTGGAATAATTTATGTGAAAGATTCCCGGATTTATTATTCATCCATACCTTAAGGGTTCGGTCCAGAAATGGGTCCTAAATTCGCGTGATTTTGTTTTTTGCCAAAGAAAATAATTTCTTGCTGACAATTTTCACAAAAAATCAAAACTAATTTGTCAACAAGGGACAGATTTGAGAAATGTTTGTGGAACATAAGTGTTTCTCAAGCATTGTTGAAAAATTATATTTTTATAATATTGTTCTCAAGCTGTATTGTATTTTCGGTATGTTGGGATAGTTTGTAAGCAACCACACGCACACACAGAAGGCTTTGGGTGTGTGTGTGTGTGTGTGCGTATGTTAGTTTGTTTGGCTTGGTTATTTATGCTCCTGTAGTTATTTACAATATACGTATGTATACGCCTCAAACAAAGTTTAAATAAAATACAAAAGGCTTACACAAACACACACACACTCGCATACCCACAACCAATCCATCTATCCACTGAACCATTCCATACGTCCATTTTCATATTTATGAGAAGGACATTCATGCACCGCTAACGGGAACAAGGACTTTAAAATATTTAAAAGGATTTTCGAAATGTTATTTGTAGGGTGTATTCGTTTCAATGGGTTTTTCAAATTGATGTGATATTCGCATCACACGAGCGCTGAAGAAAAACTCCTACAACGACAATAACAATAATTACTGGACTGTATTGCTGGATTGCGTTGGATTAAGGCTATTCAATCAAACTGTTAGATTTCTATCAAATATGAAGTGCTTCGAGTTATGTGAATTTTGGAAAATATTGTGGTATTGAAATTGGGAAGCTAAGGGAGGTTTTTTATTGGCAAAGGCATAAATGTGGTAAATTTGGAAAAATGGAAGAACAAGAATAAGAACTCGGAATTGTGATAATTATTAAATGGGTCAACAGTTAAGAAAAGTTTACGTGGACTTTTTGAGGAGTTCGTAATGTACTGATGAACATGAGTTTTTGAATGGAAAAAGTGAAAACTTTACGAAAAAAACATTTTCAATTAATTGGATCAACATGGAACACGAGCATGGTAGGATCTAGTTAATTCGTACCTTAAATAAATAAAAAAATGCTTCACAAATTCTGAGATGCCTAATACTTAAAATCCCTGCAATAAAATAAGATTGGCATGACAATGACAACCAGTAAAGAAAGTCTTAAAGTCGGGCGGGGCCGACTTTATGATACCCTACACCACTTTGCTAATTTAGTAGAGCTGCGCATAACAATTAAAAATTTTTTATCGGAGAATTCAATCATACACGCTATGATTAAAATTATAACTTAAAATTCAAAAGACTAAATATGCCGAAGCATTTGTATTTTTTAAATTCGGACTTGTATTGCCCATTTGTTATATATGGGAGCTATATCCAAAACTGAACCGATCTTGATAACATTTGGCAAAGATATTTCTGAGCTTCATTTGACATATTTCCCTGAATATCGTTGTTACGGAGTGCATATTACGGCTGTGGGTAACGAATATAACAAATCGGATGAACAATATATATGGGAGCTATAGCTATATCTGAACCGATCTTCACTAAATTTGACATATTAGCTTCTAGACTCAATTCGGTCGTAAGTGCCAAATTTCATCCCATTTGGACAAGTGTTAGATGCACAATAAAAGGTAAATCGGAAAAAAATATATATGGGAGCTATATCCAAATCTGAACCGATCCCGGTAAAATTTGGCAAACATATTTCTGAGCTATATTTGATATATTTCCCTGAATATCGTTGTTACGGAGTACATATTACGGCTGTGGGTAACAAATATAACAAATCGGATGATCAATATATATGGGAGCTAAAGCTATATCTGAACCGATCTTCACCAAATTTAACATACTAGCTTCTAGGCTCAATTCGGTCGTATGTGCCAAATTCCATCCCATTTGGACAGATATTAGACGTTTGGTGCACAATAAAAATAAATCGGACGAAGTTATATATGGGAGATATATCCAAATCCGAACCGATCTCGATAAAATTTTGCAAAGGTATTTCTGAGCTGTATTTGATATATTTCCCCAAATATTGTTGTTACAGAGTACATATTACGGCTGCAGAGGACAAAAACAACAAATCGGATGAAGAATATATACGGGAGCTATAGTTATATCTAAACCGATCTTCTTAAAATTTGACATATTAGCTTCTAGACTCAATTCGGCCCCAGGTGCCAAATTCCATCCTATTTGGGCAAATATTAGACGTTTGGTGTACAATAAAATGTAAATCGGACGAAGTTATATATGGGAGCTATACCCAAATCTGAACCGATCTCGATAAAATTTAGCAAATGTATTTCTGAGCTGTATTTGATATATTTCCCCAAATACTGTTGTTACAGAGCGCATATTGCGGCTGCGGAGGACTAAAATAACAAATCGGATGAACAATATATAGCAATAGCTATATCTGAACCGATTTCGATCAAATTTGGCATAATTATTTTCAGGCCTAATTTTGTTGTATGTGCAAAATTCCATACTATTCGGGCTGATATTACACTTTTGGTGCACAATAAAATGCAAATCGGACGAAGATATATATGGGAGCTATACCTAAATTTTGACCTATTTCAATAGGGTTCGTCCTATCTGTCGGTCCGTCTTTTGTAATCACGCTATCTTTCGAAGTAGGCAGGTTAAGTTCGTAATTGGGCCATGTAGGTCCACGTTTTCATATAGCCCACATATAACGGTACCTCCCGATATTCGGTATTTTGATTATTTTAGCGACATTAATCACCGGAATTGTTTGAAATTTGGTATATGAAGTTCGAAATGGATACTACAGCCTAAGACAGAAAATCCAATTCTGGTACACATTGCACTCCAATTTAATTTTGTGTCCAAGCTTTGATATATTCAATACATGCAACATTTATACTTCAAAACCCCTTTTATCTCTGTCAAAATTCTTGCAATATTTGACCATAGTTATGTTATGATTAATTTCATATCAATTAAAAAACAAAATATTCATAATGTGTAGAGATTTGTATTTCCTTTCTTTTTCATAATAACAGTAATTGGAAATTTTCCATACTTTTATTATATTCTACTTAAAACTTGCAATTATATTTTTCAAGCTCTATAAAGGAGAATTTCGCTGCATATTATTTTTATAATTAATTAATTCAAAGAAACGTTCTACTATTTCACTGTTGTTTGCCTCATTTAAACTAAAGCATCATTAACAAGTTCTTTTTTTATACAATTTCACAAGTAAAACATGAATAAATGCAAAAATGATGGAATACAGATGGCAGTCGAGGGATGCGGTTATGGAAGAAAATTTAATTTCGGAGAGGTGGACAAATTTCAAAATTTCATTTCAGCAGTGCATGATATGACTTCGATAAGGATTATATTAAAAATATTTATTGGATTTATCGGATGAAGATGTATATCGAAGTTATATAAAAATCTGAATCGATGTCGATAAAATTTGACAGAGGTATTTTTGAGCAGTATCTGATGCCCGGTATCAAATATCATTGTTGAGGAGGCATATTACGCATGTGAGGGACCTTAACACCTAGTCGAATGAAACACCTATATGGGAGCTATAACTATATCTGATCCTATTTACACCAAATTTAAAATACTGGTTTCTAGTGCCAAAATTCAGTGCATTTGTGCTGATATAAGCCATTTGATGTACAATATTTGTGATATCGAAAACCGCGTCGCGGTGGCCGAAAAATGGCTCTTGAGCTGAAAATATCGCAATATTCCATTCGGAAATATTGAAAAATGAGCTCGGGTAAAGCCATTGAAATTCCAAAAAGTGAGAGAACTTACACCGCAACAGAAAGAAAATAAACTCAAAAGAGCAAAAGAGTTGCTTCGCTTGGTCGAAAGTTGTGAACTGCCGAATTTGGTGTTCTCCGATGAGAAAACATTCGTTGGCCACCAGAACT